ATGACGAAAACATCGAAATGTAAAAAAAATCTCTGTACAACTTTCGCGGGCGGCATAAGTTTGTCTATTTGTCGCAAAACATAATGCGATTTTGAGTTTCTGATGAAATCCGACGGTCATCTCATTGATTGGCAGTTATTACCAATGTGACTGCCTTTGGCAATGAAAAAGCATTAAGAAAATTTTTGTAGCTTAAATGCGAAAATGTTTTTGCCAAAAAACAACCAACATGACAAGATGGAATTTTTTAGAAGTCCACATTAATGCTTCTTACGTAACAAGTGATTTTGACTAACGTATACTTTTATGAACTTGTTTTAAAGTTTGACTTATGTAAAAGTCGGTCGAAAGTGACAACGTATTTGCACATTTCTCACTGCACAAAATAGTTCTAGCACAGGCATCCAATTTCGATTGCTTCGAAACGCTAATGCATTGCACAACATCTTTTTCCGATTTTCGAAAATGTCATTCTTCTGCTCTGATCTCTTCATGCTACAGATGCTCAAACGTATTCATGAAAGACGTAGGGCTTGCATGTGAATGCCACAGTATGTATTGTGCATTTTTGCAAGGTGATCAGAACTTCGCTTAATTCTGCATTAACATGCAGATTTTTGCTATCTTAAAGCGTACATACTACCACATGTAGGACTTAAGTTTTCTTTCGCACGTTTGGTTATTATATCCTATGTTGAAATTGAGCTTACTCTTCAATAACCACGCTATATTAACTTAGAAAACCTGTTGATTTTTTTGTCAAAGTTTGAAGTGGCTATTAATGTTCATGCACGCACATGTCTTATTGTTATCAAATGACTGTTATTGCCTTCAATTTTGGTTGCAATCACTAATGTATGTAGACGATCGATTAGTGAAGAAGTTTCTCTTATAAAATAAAGTATGTTAGAATCTGATATCGGAGAAAGGCTGCTTCATGTACTTTATTTTTCGAGCACTCTAATATTTTTTTTTTGCATGCGCAAAATTTTTACAAAAACATTTGAATACCTTCGTATACGACCATACAATGTGTGTACATGTACAAAATTCCATGCACGTAAACGTGAATATAGTAAACTCTGTGATGCATCCATGCACAGATCATCCGAAAGCAAATCCCACATATGTACATAATGTTTTGTGCGCGACTACATGGGTCCTTTGAGGTTTCGCGTTTGACTCAATGACGAAACATTTACATTTAATAATGCGAATATTAATAAAGCACAACTAGGTAATAAAACACAATCATTATAAGGTGACATTGTTTAATTTAATTTGTTGCTCATAATTGTGAAATAAGAAGCAGAAATTTTTAGTCTCTTACTTGAACAATAGTAAGATCTTCTATATTTCCACTGAAATAAATCAAGTATAGTTATTGCCTTTTCTCCTTTATTGCTTCGATCTTTCATTCTGAGAGACTGTTTACCAATAATAAATGACAAAAGTTGCTTGACAAAATCTTCGAATTGTGAAACCATCTTATGTTTCAAGTTTATAACTAAAAAAAAATTACATCTCATTCAGATCAACAACTTGGTGCTAGCCTGATTCATTAGCCAGATCAAATGGCATATGAATGGATCAGGTCAGAATAACATTTCAAAACTCAGTTTAGCTTGGTAATCTATAGGTAGCATGGCTACACTGTAAAAAAAAAAGTAGAATAATAAACCCGACAAAAAGAGTTTATTATTAGCCTCATAAGTCTTTTTTGTAGAGTTCATTATTCTACGCTTCGTTTAAAGTACAGGCTGGTAACTCCTATTCACAATGCATAAATCTTCACTATTCCCATACGTAAAGAAGAAAACTCTCAATTTAACTTTTTCAAATGTTTTACAAGAAAAGTATTTTGTATTTCGATAATATTCATTGAAAGTTACCCATAGTAGATTTAGCAGTTGACTCTATTTACAGAACAAGCGTTATTTGTCGTTCTCTTAGACATGAATAGGACAGTTCAACACCTGCTTCGACCCTATTTCTTCTCGAAAACAGAACCACTTTGCTTACAACTAGGCAAAGTTCTAACATAAATTTCAAATAACATTAAACTATTTTAATCAATGTTGCACCATATTTTCCACAAAAAAAATTTTCATCATTGTTTCGATCGCATTTCCGAGATAGGATGAGGATAGGAGACCGAGATCGAATACGTCATCCTTAGATCTGACAACGACGAATAATTCTTGTAATTCAACTGTCCGTTTCAATAAACACACTTGTGCGAAAATACTATTATTATATGAGAAAACAGCGTGCAGAAAAGAACTGTGGCCTTACAGCTTCCTCTCCTGAATTATTGCTCTGATTCATACAATGATCTATTAGAATCCTTTCTGAATTCAAACAAAACGTAGTAATCGTTTTTTCATTTAAAAAAACAACTGCATGTACCTTTCTATAAGCAGTGCAGATCTTGATGAGTCTAGGGAATCTACAGCTACAAATGGCTATACCATTCTTAAACTGTACAATACTATACGAAAAGATCCTGAAGATAAGGGAAACATTTTAGATAACTGAGAATAAAATGTATTCTATTCTAATATAATTGAACTGAAATTCATTTTGAATAATTTGAAAGAGCACGAAACGGCTAGATGGAAACTAAGAAAAATGAAAAGATACTTATGATCACTATGAAGCCTGTGTGTCTCATGTTATTCAAGAGAAACTATAATTGTCTGCGATACACAGAACCTTGTTGGAACTCAAATATGACGAAAAAACGTTCAAAGAGTCCTTTTATGATCAGCGACACTTTAATAGTTAACTTTAATGACTTAAATAATCCCTGTATTCCACTTCTTTGTCAACATTAATAGCGAAGTGAGATCAGTTCAGCAGTATATTTATGGGTCTATTTACGAAAAACAGAGTCTATTTCCAGTTCAAGATAACATGTATCATGCAACTCCGAAAAAGTCATAGATACTATGTCGACTTCAGGAGATTACTTTGTATTAACAGAACTTATTCAGACCTTGTACGATCAATTCTAATGCCGAACTGTGTTAATTTTAATAAGTACAGCACTTTACCATCAACCTATGATATAAGATGTATATTACTCAGCTAGTGCTATTGAAAGTTCATTTAACATCCCACTAGAGGACACTTTCTAGTTATTGACATAGGTATAGCGTAGATAACCTTTTTGTTTTTTAATAGTTCTCATTGAACAGAAGATGAGGAATAGCTTTATTAAGTTAATTGAGTCTTGATCAAATTTTAGGTGCTATCTGTGAAAAGAATTCTTTACGAATATCTTATGTACATTAGAAATGTGTCTTCAAACGTTTGTAACCTCCACTTAATTCCCTACTAACACAATCATATATGAATAAAGTGGGATAGCTTACTAAAATCATTTGAAACACGCTCTTTTTTTGTAATATCTGTCAAACGTGCAAAAATATTGACGAGAACTTGAAGATAACATGTCTAGATAGAGCTTGGAAAGTTATTGATTGCAGGTTTTGATAAACTCGAAAAGTTACAGATAACATACTAAGATAGGTCTCGAAAAGTGTCAGTTACATGCCAAGATATTTCCCTTAAAGTTAGAGATATTACAGTTAGACAGGCCTAACGAGTTACAAGTAATATAGTCAGATACTTCTTTGAAAGTTATAAATAAAATACTCATATTGGTCACAAAAAATTCTTCGTAACATATCTAAAAGATCCCTGAATGTCACATATGATATATTAAATGCATCCCTTAACCCGTTCAATACCGCATGTCATCTCGTAGATGACATACATATCGTAATATAGAAATTTTGCGATCTGTCATCTTCCCACATGATACATATCATGTGTGTGTTCAAAGAAGCGCGTGTATTCTTCGCTGTGAAAATATTTTTTTCACACTGAACTAGTGTAGCTAGAATTCGTGTGCAGCTGTTTATGTGAAGGAGAACACAAGAGAGAGAGAGAAATCTAGATTTTCTTCAACTTTGTATAGAATGAGAGAACATTTCGGTATTGAAAGGGTTAAAGATAAGATTAACATAGATACTTCTCTCCTCGTAAACAATTAATCTTTAAGAAGGAAACGTTCATGCTTTGGATAATGTATTAATTGAAATTAAAGATAATAGAGTCTAGAAATATTCATGTCAAGATTAAAAATTTCCTATCACAAATGTTATAATCTGTGATGAAACATTCATTTCTATAGGTCAACGATAGTTCAATAGCTACAGGTTTTGCAAGAGACACTCAAAAAGTCTGATTAAGAAAGTGACAAGATAAGATGGAGCATAGTGGCTACTTTCTACAGTTAAGGACATTTGTTTTGATATAGAAAAAAAAATTATTCGCGAAATAAAATATTTTCCCTTCTCTCAAAATTAATTCATATTGTAAATGACTGAACTCAAGAAATTTATTTCATCGTTTATTATAAGACTCTCTCTTTGATAATACAAGCAAATATGGAAATTTTTCTTCTTAAAAATTGATATAAAAAAGTGAAACGATTATTACTAACAAGATTTGTTGATTAAAACGGTTATGAAGTTTTTCAGCTCTCCGATATTTGATGACATAGCAAAACTGATATCACAATAGGAACCTACATGAACCTTTATACAACGCATTTATGATCTCATTCAGATTTCAACTGTTATGAAAATAGCGACTTCGGGAGTCCTTGATCACTCAATAATATTTCTTTATTATAAAAAATTCCTTCTAAAAACATTCGATCTTGTCACTATAGACTTATTAGAGAAAGGTATTCGATTCATTCTTTGTTAAGTAAACTATTCATAATTTTAAAAAATTAATTATGTAAAATATAGTATTGTAACTATAATGAAAACAACAGTAACGGTGAAACATTAGTGACTCGTCTTCATTAGTGATAATTTCCAACCAAGTTACCTTTTGGCTAACTAAAAATAGATTATTGAAGTGGAATGATTGTCAAAGTCCTTTTTTTTTATAAAATATGTTTCTTTTAATTGATTCGATCAGTTCGAGAAGTAGATAGATACTCAAAAAATATCGTCTCTTTACTCTATTGACGGTTAAAAGACAAATTATTCATTTGAGAGAAAATCATTATAATCCTTATTGAAAATCATATGATTCATGTAGATATTTAAACAATCGAATGAATTTCTCAACTATTTGAAATAACGAATATGTAATATTTTTCTAGTAAGCTTAAATACAAAGAAAACGGCATCTTGACTCTCTAATAAAAGACTTAAAATTGTAACATATCGAAAGAAATTGCATGGTTTCAAAATAATCGTGAGCACAACCATTCGATTAGAATGATGATAAAAGACTACTTTTTCTTCACATTCCGAACTTTTTATGCAGTTCAAACTCTTTTTACAGATATTACTATTGAGTTCGATGAGAAGGTTCTGTTTTACTGCTTGAAGAAAAGTAAAAAGAGAATTCTATGTGACATTAAATCATCCTTTTTTACTATCATTTTGTGATGTTGAAGGTCAGGCTAGAGTTCGTCAGAATTTATTCTGAATGACAACTTGATCAAATTCAACTTTGTGATAGGGAGCAACCTTCAATAGAAATTATAAAATTCTATCGAGTTATTTTTATTAATATTCATTTTGATTGAAAAAGAAAAGCTCTTCTTTATGATATTGTCTGAATATAGTTTTGATGACCACTTATTTCACGTAATTTATCGGATTTATTCAGAATTCGGATCTTAGAAAGTCTGTTGAACATGATAATTGTTATAGTTCGATAATATTCAATTTAAATTTTGTGGTAAGTCATGCGAATATATTGTTTATAATTTTAGCACAATCAACAGTAGTATGTCCAACAGGCACTTGGAATAGTACTTATCGAACATTAGCAGGTACATTCAATCAAGTAGGAAGTTCATCAACACTACTTTATTATCCATATCGTGCCGCGTTTGATGCAAGTAATACAATGTATGTAGCTGATCAGTATAATCAGCGCATTCTAAAATATGTTGGTGGATCAACATCAGGAACAGCCGTTACAGGTTTATCTTTATCATATCCAACTGATGTTTATGTTGACAATACTAATATTATATATATATTGGACACTAACAATTACAGAGTATTGCGTTGGAATAGTGGCGTTGTTACCGTAGTAGCTGGTGGTCGTGGCGCCGGTTCAACATATGATAGAATGTCGACAAGTTATTCTATGTTTATTGATTCGTCTTCTAATATATATGTATCAGATTATGGAAATCATCGTGTTGTGTTATGGTCAGCTGGAAATTCAAATATGAGTCAATTGGTAAACATTTTTTTTCTCATTGATTTATGTTTTAATTTTGTATATATTAAAGGTTGCAGGTGGATACGGAGCTGGAGGCGCATCATATCAGTTGTATTATCCTTTTGGAATCTATGTTGACAGTGCTAGGATTTTATATGTTGCTGATTGTTATAATCATCGTATCCAGCAATGGTATCCCGGTTCGTCAAATTTATTCAATATAATTAATAATATTTTATTAAAATTATTATTATAAAATATAGGTGCAGCTGTAGGAAACACAGTTGCAGGTCAGTCAGGCGTATCGGGTTCATGGTCATATCAATTAAGTTATCCAACATCGGTTATTTATGATCAATATAATTATCTTTATATTCTTGATGGTAACAATGATAGAGTTCAACGTTGGGTTCTCGGAGCAACCTATGGAATAACTGTTGCAGCAACATCAATGTCTAGTCCACGAGGATTAACTTTTGATTCTTTTGGAAATATTGTTATAGCTGATTCTGACTATCATAGAATTATTTCATATGCTATGTACTGTCGTAAGTCATAGTTTTATATTCAAAAATATTATTATAGTAAATAAGCTTTTATAAAGGTTTCGATTTGAAAAATGAAAAGTAAATTTTAATATTGAATAATTCATTGAAATGTATTTAAAAAGAAAAAAAAATAACCGTTATTAAGAATATCTTTGTTGTTTAAATTATGTTGATGATAACAATACATTTTGTTTTATGTTTCTCTTTTTATTAATTTCAGCGCCGAGTGCAACAACAACAACACTACCAACACGTAACGTCTCGTGATCTTTTTTTAATACTTGAAAACATGAATCCTTTCTTTATTTAAATAGCTCAAGCAACAATGCCAGTGTGTTCAACAGCTGTTTGGAATCAAAGTTTTGCAATTTTAGCTGGATCATCAGGAAATGCTGGATCATCATCAACTTATCTTTACTATCCATATAGTTCATTTATTGATATATATGGAAATCTTTATGTTGTTGATTATTATAATCATAGAATTCAATATTTTCTAAGAGGTTAAAATAAACTAAGAATTTTAAAATAAATGATTAATTATTATAATTTCTAAATAGGTGTGACAACAGGGACAACAGTTGCTGGTATAACATCAAGTGCTGGCTCAAGTTATTCTCAATTATATTATCCATCAGATATTTATGTTGATTCAAATGGAATAATGTACATATTAGATACAACTAATTGCCGTATACTTCAATGGATTCGTGGACAACCACTTGGTTTTGTTATTGCTGGTGGTCATGGTTGTGGATCAGCATTAACTCAAATTGATACTAGTTATTCTATGTTTATTGATAATCAATATAATATTTATATATCAGAATATGCAAATCATAGA